CATAGGTAGTTTCTCATAGCATTCATGTGTCTATTCATTTAATCGGCCCCGTCACACTCCTAACCATGACAGCAGCCTCCCTCTCCCAAGTCACAGCGACACCCTTGTTCGATAACGCCCCGGGTAACTGACTACCACGACTCACGCATTCCTTCACCGAGTCCCCAACAGCAGTCTTGTTACTCCTCAGCGTCCTTGCAGACACACCGCCCTTGTTCATGAGCTCCTGCACTCTCGGCGCCATGTTAGAGGCGAGCGTCCTCCAGAAGTAGCTGGGTAGTGACGAAGTATCGAGAGCTTGGAGGAGGGGTTGTAGGAAGTTGGAAAAGTTCGGGGTGCGCGAGGCGTCGAGAAGGGGGTGTGCGGGTGGCTTGATGCTTTCGAGGAGGGATTGGAGTGCGACGATGTTTTGGCACCGCGCGGATATCTCGAGGAGTGTGCGGTCTAATGTGGGAAGCTGACCCAAGGCGCGCGCGAGCGATGCGAGGGATGACTTCAGCTGGGTCTGGAGGTAGTCTTGTAGTGCATTGAGCATGAGGGTCGGTTCGAAGGTCTCGGTCGTGGTTTTGGTCGATACCGGCGACAGGAGGTAGAGGGTGAGCAGCGCGGACGTGGTTCTCGACTTGGTGTCTTCGGTTTGCGAAAAGGTGGATGCCGATGTTTGACCTGATGAGGATAGTAGCGAGGACATGGAGAACTCCTTGACTACCTGCTGAGCGCGCGACGATATGCTGCGCTCGCCTGGGTTGACGAGCTCGCTCTTGAGCGTGTTCACCACGTTGACCCTGTCCAGGCCCTCACCCTCCTCGCCTGGCTTGGAAGCTGCAAGGAGCTGGCGCAATGACAGTATGGTATCTGCCGAGCGCACCATGGCTCTGTGATCCTCCCTCTTTGCGCTGCCGACGCCGCCCAGCTCCGACATGCGCACTTCGAGCTGTCTACCTAGCATGAGACATCGCGCGACGGCCCTGCCAAGCTTGACAGTCTCGCAGAGCCTCTCTGCTGTCAGTCGCACCTGCTCAGCGACCTCGTAGCGCTCAATGACCTCCTTCTCTAGTGTCTTGTACGACTCGGTCAAGCTGGCAACCTGTCCTTCCACCTCGTGCAGTATGCGTCCGCTCGATTCGGCATGGTCTCGCGTGTGTTCCAGCAGCGGCAGTGCCGACTTGGTGGTCAGGGTATCGATATGTGTGTCGACTTCCTGGACATCGAAGAGGACGCGCGACAGCGGTGTTGACAGATCTAGCGGGGTGTCGGAGGGGTTGTTGGTCGAGAGGACGAGCGTGTTGGCGAATGACGTCGCCGAGAAGTCTGGATCGAGGAAGGCCTCATAGTCGATGTATGAAGGCTCATCTTCTTTGGACATGGTGGGAGGTTGCTCGAATCATGGCCTGGCGCACTTGCGCAATGCTCGCTGTCCTAGCGCGTCCTTGCACCTCCGCATCTTCTCCGCGCCAAGCATCCCATCCGCTGCAGGTATGACTTGAGGACTGCACTGCCTGAGTCACCTATGACTCCATCTGAGACAAGCCTCGCGACTTCACCGGATATCAGCACTTTGCCACACCTAGGCATCGCTGCTGGGGTCCAGCCATTGTACGCCTTGCGCCACCTCCCTCATGGTTACCTAGTATCGCTATCATGGCCACTCAGAATTGTCCATCGTCCATTGGGTTGCACAGTCAAGGCTGTAACCGCTGCTGTATTCAAGTTGAATTGGAACGCCTGAAAAGGGTGAATAGCATGATTCTTGCAGGTAAAGCTGGTGCCTGCAGGCCGGTTTGGTGTATAAAGTAAAGGTACTTCTCACCATGTCTGTTGGTATGTCGAGTACAGAAGCAATATTTTCAGTCTCGTAACTCATACTTCTTGTCACTTCATCTACGCGCTTTATCTTGTCTTCATTGAAGACCGCCATTATGCCCGGCGAGACTCCCACCAACGGTGTCAAGGACACGAATGGCACTACGGAATTCGCGCCAGAAGGTTCTCTTGCATCCTTCAAGAACTTCTATCAAGGCCCGCGGGACAAGAACAAACAGTGGAGCTGGACTGAGCAGGAACCTGAGGATGTCGCAGACCCTGCTGAGAATGAAGAGACGGCCCAACACGCTCTCATCACTCGTCTGCTCAAGTCAGACGACTCCCGCAGGAAATACAAGATCCACTCAATCATCATCCAGTCGCCTTGGCTCAAGACTGCTCTTGCTGAAGTTCTGAAGGATTACCCAGCCATCCATTGTGAATTGAAACGCCTGGAGTTCGAGGCGCCATTCACTCCTTTCGTTCATCGATGGGCTCAGCTACTTGAGTACAAAAGCAGAAAAGATCTCGATGCCACAACTGCTGAACACGTTGAGCTACTCTACGAAGTTCTTTCCTCTGAGCTCAAGGACGTCATCAAGACATTCGAGGACTACATCAGCCATGGTATCGTAACATTCGATCATATCTGGATCATGTATCAGCCCGGCGCCCTCATCTACTCCAACTCTCACAACGGAGCGTATGGGGTCTACAAATTGAAGTCAGGCTCCTACGCCAACACCCAGTGCGGTAGGATATACCAGATCAACCTTGAGGCCATCGACTGGAACGGCAGCACTTTCGGTCGTACTGCCCAGACTATTCGAGTTCGAGAATTTCATGGCACTGCTCCTATACTGGGCTTGACAGCCTTCCCACTGTCATTCCATCCTCATGAAGCCAAAGTTAGAGAAGCGCTGATCAGCCGTGGTAAGAAGTTTGAAGCACTTGCTGGCAGCCACTACATGGCATACGATGGCTTCGCGATTGGATGGGACAGGGAGGGCAACGAGGCACCGTACATGTGCACTGGCCGTATCATCATCGACTCGGACAGCTTCCAGCGCTTCTCTCCTCGTTCCATCAACCGAGTCGATCCTCTCAGCGCAAAAGAATGCGCCTCTGGTCCTGAAGCCGTCGCTGAGAAGCTCGAAATCCAAGACCCGACCGAGATGAAGTACGTGTTTGGCAAGCAAGACAAGGAAGAACGTCTACGCCTCACCGAGGACCACCATCTTCTATGCTTGCCTAGGGTCCGGGGCTATTCGCTCAAGAAGAAGCAGTGGCTGTTTTTTTACCTTGATCTCATCGAAAACATCAAGTTCAATGACAATGCCTTTGCTTCGCTCGTTCTCCCTCAAGACCAGAAGGAGCTCATTCTTGCATTTGCCGAATCGCAAGCCATGAGCCAGTGCAAATTCGACGACATTATCAGCGGAAAAGGCCGTGGCCATATTACTCTGCTCAGCGGCCCTCCCGGAGTTGGCAAGGTAAGTCGCCCTACAAATCTCCCCGCTTTTTGAACGAAACACAATGGTTCCAAGGTACTGACACCTTCTAGACCCTTACAGCAGAGTCTGTAGCCGAGCACATGCGCGCTCCCTTGTTTATGATGTCCGCCGGCGACTTGGGTATCGACCCCGACCAAGTCGAGAGCAAGCTCACCAACATCCTCGAGATGATATCCAAATGGAACGCCGTCCTTCTGCTCGATGAATGCGACGTCTTCCTTGAGGCGCGCAGCACGCACGACCTAGAGCGAAACAAGCTCGTGTCCATCTTCCTGCGTGTGTTGGAGTACTACGAAGGCATGCTGTTCTTGACCACCAATCGTGTTGATAACATCGATGCTGCCTTCCAGTCTCGTATTCACATCAGCATGGCATACCCTGATCTCACGTCTACCTCGCGGAAGAGCATTTGGCAGAACTTCTTGAAGAGCTTGGGTGGCTTGGAGGGATGGAAGGATCTGGATCTGGACGAAATGGCAAGTGTGGAGCTCAACGGTCGTCAAATCAAGAACGTACTGAAGAGTGCGTCACTGCTTGCTGCGAGGAAGAAGGAAGTTCTGAACAGGAAGTATGTGGATATGGTTCTGGGGATCGAGAAGAGAAGGCCTGGTGTGGCTGTGGGTTTCTAGAGGATAGGTAGTATCATGAGTAACGAGCTATCCCAGACTGTTCTCTTGGTATCGGACTAAGTTGGAGACAATATCTACAAGCCGTTCATTTGACGATCTCCTGATCATGTCGCACTTCCGAATCATTGCCATGCCTAATTATCGTTCCCCAGCACTTGGAGGCTTCTTGAGTTGAGGCTCATAGAGCTCAACCTTGAACGTCCTTCCCTCGGGATAGCGCTCTAAGAGAAATGGCGTTAGCTTCCTGTTCCGACGGTTCAAAATTTCGTCGACTTACCAGTCAGCACAGAGACTTGTGTCATCAACTGCACGTGCAGATTCACCAGTGCTTGTTCCATATCTCTATTCGCAGCATTCCCGACACGTAGCACTTGTCCACCAATTCCGTTAACGTTATATCCAAACAGCTTTGCCTGAGCAGTGTTAGTGCTGTCGCTGGAGGTAGTAATGTAGTAAGTATATCCAGGGCCGTAGAGTAGGCGTGCATTGTCTTTGATGAGGGAAAGTAGGTGGTAGCGTTCAAAGTGGCTGACCATCGTGGAGTCTATCGAGAACAGTTCTAGGTTGGTCTAAGAACCAGCCATATATGCGTTCTGCCGACAAGCAGAAGACGGCGTTTGATGTTCAGCAAACTATTCGTGGATCGTAAAATACATGACATGGGCATATATGGGGTAGGTAAGTCCGAAGAAACAAGTCAATGGATGTTTTCCCCCCTCCTCGAGATACCTTTTGTACGCTCAAGTACATGCAGTCTCACCTTGGCGATGCTGATGTTTCCCTTGATGATAGGTCGAGACGCAAAGAGACAGCTGCGATGGGAAGATACCACACCCTTTGGAAGTCGCGTTGGACAAAACATGAACCAGAAGGGTAGTCAACTGTACATCGTATAGTGGTATGGGATCGGATCACGCAAAGCATACGGACACCACGGAGTCAGGAACGAGAGCAGAATAGTTTGAGCACCAGAAACAATGTATCAATTAGCGAGTTCCCGTCGGCAAATCTTCAAGTGACCGAATCAGGCCGCCTATAGACAAGCGATGGTCTTCTAGCTGGGAGGCTTTATTATCATCCCAGTGAATGTCACTCCCTTCTTCAGACGTTGATCGTAGCGCGCAACTTCGTGCCTCAGCTCTTTTGCCAACGCATTGACGGCCTTAGGAACGGTGATGGGAGTGTCCTTCTGGCCTACGGTGTGCGTCATGAGTACGAAGCCGTCTCTCTCTGCGGGCAGATCATAGGCGACAAGTAATGCTGTTGTAGCCCCGACCTGGTCTGCTTCGCCTGATTTATCCTTCGGATCTTTATGATAATCCGCAGCTTGGTAAGTGACCACTTCGTAGGTGCTGTCACGACCATAGAGCAGACGGGCATTTGCTATTGATGTTAGCCATGGGGAGACATGTGACAGATGTATAGAGTGTTGGTTACCTTTGATAAGATTAATCGTGTCAATCTTCTCGCGATCCATGTTGAGTCAGGAATGGGTGGTCAGCGGAAGTTATGATTGAGCTCGTATCACGGAGACCCCAGATCTTCATCTAGTCCAGCCATCGGATTTGCTTGCTGTCAAGCCGATATGCCTAGCCAATGTATGTCACATAGCTCGAATTCATTTTACAACAAACAAGCTTGCTACCTGGAAGGAGACAAGCTACAACACATCAGGGAATTCAGGCTTGAGGAGAGTCAATTTGCATTGAGAGGATCTGGGGCTATCTTAACGCAACTTCAACACGATGTCAGAACAGTATCGCGTAATCAGTAACGGTAGTCGCGGCAACGAGAGAGCAACAAATCCTCTACTCATCGCGAACCGCGACCGTAATCCATGAGTCCTTCAATTATGTCCTCAAAGGCTTTTTCTTCTTTTCTTGTTTTGATAACGTGTCTTGTTATCTCTTCTTATTGGGAATACTTCCACCACACGAGACCCGCAGAGTCGACAGCAAATCGTCGCAAACATGGACGAGAAGTTGCATGTCCTAAGGTATTCGTGTGACTGCATCGGAAGTATAGATCCAGTCTGATCTGGCCTTGGGCTTGCTGTACAAAGCACAAGATGACTAGGCTTGAAGGGAGCTAAATCGTAGCGCCGAGTAGGTGCGGTACCCTAGGGGAGGGAGGAGGGCCGCTAGAGCCCATAGCGTAATGACATGCGACAAGGTGTAGCATCGCATCGAGTAGGGTGAGAATGTAGTTGTATGGCCATAGACAGTAATTGCTGTCAAGAACCAGACATGGAAGTGATAACGTGCCGTCAATGGAGACGTAGAATAGCTCGATGGAGCTACACATATCCAGTAGCGTCGTGAACAGGGTATAGTCGTACCGAAGAAGATCGTACCCAATCGCAATCCTCTATACAAGGAGGACTGGGCTTTTGAAAAGACTATACCTAACCGCCAAATGCTGTTGAAAAGAGGATGGAAGTGAGAACTGAAGACTAAGAGCGCGCAGAACTGGAGACAGTGCACTCTGCTGCAGAGGCAAAAGGCTCCAGCAACGCAAGTCGGCGAAACCAGCCAACCGACGCAAAGCAAAAACTAGACGCGACCCTGGTAGACCTTGATATATAGTACATGTAGAAAGGTCGAGATCGTTAGAACCGTATTGCGCCGATGATTCGATTCGTTAAACCTGATAGCAGAAGTCCAGATATTCCGTACCGCGTCGTCGGCGCGACTGATCGCATAGTCATGAAAAAAGAAAGAAATGTAATGAACACATATGGATGCAAGGCAACCAAATGATATCGCAGCCTCTTGACAGAGAATTGTCGTGACATCAAGACGTAATCTAGATGTCAGGTTCAAGACACTGCAGAGATCGGGACCACCAGACTTTTCTACGAGGCAGGAGGTGGACCTGTAGGCTGTGGCCTAGGATTTCGCTGAGGGTTCTGACCGTTTGGCTGACGGTTCTGTTGGTTTTGTGGAGGACCTCGGCGCTGTCCCTGGAACTGGCCGCCGCCACCACGACCGCCACGGAAGCCGCCTCGCGCGTTGGGGTTACCGCGCGCAGCACCATCTTGTTCTTGTTGCTGACCTTGACCTTGACCAGGAACACGTTGGGCGCTGGACATAGGGCGAGGGATTGATTCGGGGGATTCGTAAACGTATAGGTTCTTCTCGATGACTTGCGGGATGGGCTGGATTTCGGTACCAAGCTCCTGTTCGATCCTGTAAAGGTTGAAGCGATCTTCCCAGTTGATTAGGTTGATAGCTAGACCCAGATGTCCGAAACGACCAGATCGACCGATCCTATGCAGATATGTCTCGGCGTTCTTCGGGAAATCAAAGTTGATGACGACGTTGACGGCCTGGATATCGATACCACGGGTGAGCAAATCCGAACAGACAAGGTTTCGGCAAACGCCATTGCGGAAGTCGTGGAAGACGCGGTTACGGTTATGCTGGAGCATGCGCGCATGCGAGTAAAAGCAGGAGTATCCGAGTTCGGTGATCTTCTTCGCAAGAAGCTCTACACGGTTTGTGGAGTTGCAGAAGATGATGGACTGATTAATCTGCAGCTTGTTGAAGAGGGTGTTCAAACAGTGGACCTTCTGCTTCTCCTCAACGAAGGCGTAGTACTGTGTGATACCGCGAAGGGTCAGCTCGTCCATCAGGTTGATTTCGTACGGAGAGTTCATGTGTTTGTCCTGCACTGTATTAGCAAACTTGTCGTCGTAGAGACGCTGGTCAAACGTACCTTGAAGCTCTTGACTACGATAGGAAAGGTAGCGCTGAACAGCATGACTTGCCTGTCCTTGGGGTGGAAGCCAAGAAGCTGCTCTACAACGGGGGTAAACTCAGGTGACAAGAGCTTGTCAGCCTCGTCCATGACAAATGTTTGGCAGGCGGACAGATCTGCTACGCCCTTTCCAGCCAGATCCAGGATCCTACCAGGTGTTCCAACGATGATGTGAACGGGGTCGCTCAACCGTATAATATCGTCCTTCAATCCTGTACCACCAGTCGAGACCATGACGTTAACACCGAGGTGCTGTCCCAATTGCTTGCACACCTGGGATGTTTGTAGTGCGAGTTCTCGGGTGGGAACGAGGATCAGAGCTTGCGTCTTGGGGCTCTTCGGGTTTATGCGCTCGAGGGTAGGGATAACAAAGGCGGCTGTCTTTCCGGTACCGTTCTTCGCTCGCGCGAGGATGTCTCGGCCGGTGAGGGCTACTGGGATCGTCTCTTCTTGAATTGGTGACGGCTTCTCGAATCCAGCCTCGAAAATGCCCATCATGAGCTCGCGCTTGATGAAGAAGTCTTCAAACTCGAGGCCCTTGGTCGCTGTAACATCCTACCCTAGCATTAGCTCACGTCCAATATATATGATGCCCAAGTCCATAGCCTACCTCTGTCTGCGGTCGCGCATCCTTCGCTGGCGCATTCAAACCGGCTTTCCAGTTTGCCTCTCCTGATGGTGTAGCATCGCTGGGAATATGTCAGCGCGTAGTTCTTGCTTCGTTGGACATGGACTCACCTTAGCTGCGTTGCCGCTAGTTGGTTGGTGATTTCTGAAGTCATTGTGTATGTGGGTCCACCGAAGGTGGGGTTGTTGGTCGGAACGTCAAGGTCTAGTAGTGTGGATAGAGGCGCGATTGGTGTGTGTGCAACGCTTGCGGCAGAGCAGAGCAGATGCAAGTGAGGGGTTTGGGTGTGGAGGCTCGTGTAGTGTATGCCGAAGAAAGTGGGGTCAGGTAAGCGCGGGATGGGAGTGCTGACTGTTTAGCAGCAACTCGGGTGTCGGCTTCTCGTGGTGGTGTGCGTTGTGAAGAGGCTGATTGAGGCTCGGAAGAGTCGTAATGTAGTGGTTTCGCCTTGTGGAGTCGTCTGCGAGTGGAGGTTCGCGCGGGGGTTACTGAGGACAGTAGGAGTTAGTAGATGCCTCGAGAGGGTAAGCGCAGAGAAGATGGTGTAATTTTGTGCAGTGAGGTCGGTCTGTGTGGTGTTGTGGTAGCTGGGCGGGCCGCTTTATGCAGAAGGAACTTGAAGCTGGTGGAGGGCAAGGGTCCGTGCGTGCTTGTCATTGGCCCTTCTGACGTCGGTGCCAGGGCGACTATCTCAGTCCCCGTCTGCGACATCCAATTCTCGACTATCCAACTTGAGGATTTCTGTGCAATGATAGCGGCGTGTTCTCATTGCACCTTCTCTGTTTGCCGCTTTCGGTCTTGATACCACGCGCCAGGTCCGCTCTAGCTGTACGTTTCATGTGTAATGCTGCATGACAACATGAGTATTGACGACGAATGTAGCATATTTCAGCCAGAAACATATCGGCCACACTATTGATTCAATAACTGAATCTCTCCACATCAGTCATACGTGTCGATTTTGTCTTTCGACACTTGCGTAAACAGCCGCCGAAACACGTACTCAAAGCCCATAACTCACCATGTCGTCTTTGCTCGGCCTCTCAAGGGCCCTTCGTACGCTCAGGACACCCCAGACTACCAGAAAAATGACCTCCCACTTCTTCTCTCCTTCCCACACACCCCGACACCTCAGTCTACCACGACCACGCCTCTTCTCCTCCCGCGCATACGACGCCTACAGCGCTCAAGTAAAGTCCAACAAGCTTGTTCTGTATGGACTCATGGGTACCAATATTGCCATCTTCGGGTACGCGGCCTTTCTTAAGAGCCAAGCTATACAGGGCTTCCAGATGCCATACCAAAAGTTCATGGACACGATGACATTGAACCTCGACAAATTTCGAGACGGAAACTACACGTCGCTGCTCACTGCGGCATTCACGCACGTGGATCTCTTCCACATATTGTCGAACATGGTCAGCGTTTATTTCTTGGGCTCTTTCTTAGCGGCAGCGCCTGTGATAACGCCAATGCGATACCTGACTATCGCTCTGGGCTCTGGGATTGCGGGAGGAGTGGGCGCTTTGTTCAATCGGTATTACAAGTTGCGTTCTGAAGGCCCTAACGCCAGAGACTATTCAAGGACTCTTGGATTCTCCGGAGCCGTCATGGGCATCGGCGCTGTGGCAGCGTGCATGAACCCGCACGCGAGAGTGCTGATCTATGGCATCGTACCGATGCCACTTTGGGCTATGACTGCCGCTTATGCCGTCTACGATGGATTTTATCTCAACGACTCGAACTCGCGAATAAGTCATGCCGGGCATCTAGGAGGATTGGCGTTTGGGCTCGTGTACTACTTCACCAGGTTGCATCGTCTTAGGTTCTGAGGGTAACAGTACAGCCGGGGTGTTCTCAATATGTTCTGTAGAAGTAAAGGACTTCCTGATCAGGTTCCGTGTGCTGCTAAGCTATTTTAATGTCAGTTGGTTGGCAAGTGGATAGTGCAGAGCATGCTTCCGGATCTTGTGATACGATTATCAGACTACATAATATGTATGTAACCTCTGGATACCACGATCTATCACCCGCTCTAGGCGGGCATTACACAGGCCCAATTATCATACCCCTCTCCCTATCACATATGC